TCCTTTATATGTAATGTAATCACAGAAACCTGAACGCATCAAATAACTTCCTTTATATGTAATCACAGAAACCTGAACGCATATATTTGATGCAGGGAAATAAAAAGCAGGATACGTGGATTTCGAAGGCCATTGTTGAATTTAAGTGCACATTCATTTGCAACAGTTATCAACCAAGCATTCGGAAGACCCTTGTATCCACTCTTTGATCCCTACATCAACGATATCAATTATATGCTTTCCTCCTACATCATCCCTTACGTTGGTCTCACCGGTTATGTTGGTGCTACTCCAAAACTTAAAAATCCTCTTTCCAGAAAGGTATATATACATATATACTTTAAATATATTTCTATATATATATATATATGTGTTCAATTCATATGTTTCTGTCACCAGCTTGTAGCTGGTCTTCTTGCAGTAGAATCAGGTCAAGATGCAGTTTTTAGAAGCCTTCTTTATGAACGAGCAATGGTAAGGGTAATCCCATATGGTATCACAGTGGCTGAATTCACTGATAGAATCTCCGCATTACGAAACAAATTAGGTCGTGGTGGCATAAAAGATGAAGGTCTCGTTGTCGCAACTAATAACATAAAGAATAGAGGGAAAATGACAGGAAACGTTTTAGTTGGCGACATGAACTCCTTGGCATACGGTCGAACACCAAAGGAAATCCTTCGTATTGTATACGGAAGTGGAAAGGAACAAGTTCCTGGAGGATTTTATCCTCATGGTGCAAATGGGACCATCGCTAGAAAATATTTAAAGCGCAAAAAAGATTGATATCTTTGTTTTAACCTTCTTAATCTAATCTAATCTAATGTTTGTAATGAAACATAAAGTATGATTATATGGGTGTGTCTTAATACTCTAAGCCTAACCTAAATGCTAATATATCTTGAACAGATTTTATTTTTGGATGCCAATGGAATTGAAACAAAAACCAATATTTTGGTTGTGACAAAAGTGATTTCTTCTTACTCCTTATCCTGTCATGGGTACAAACATGGATCTAAAGGCTATAATGACTTGTACCTTTTGCAGTAAAACATATACACAAGTTTGTTACTCATGGGACAAACCTCACTTGGATTGCAGAACCTCTCACTGATTGATGTGATGGATATTGGCCTCCTATACAATATCTGAATAGATGCCCCTTCAAAATCTGAATGAATCTTCACTAATAGTAATATGCATCTTCAAATTCACCCCTGTGGATTCACAGAAGCAATCATTCATTATGATATATGCAAACAAACCATCTTTCTCGTAAAAATGCAAAAAATAATGAATGATTTCGACAAAAAATGCAAGTACGATAACTAGTTTGGAAAACTTCTTACCATCAGCTGAGGTAACTTGAGGAGTATAAACGATAAGGTGTATACAACCGTTGATATCACTACTGCTGTGATCACGTTGTACATGAGGCGCTTATCATCTTTACTCGGCACAAATGCAATCTTCAAAGTATTTGTTAGTTCAAAGAACCTGTACGACACCTGCAAGTTTTGATCAAACCATGTAAATCATTTGCTTTACTTTTCAGTCAATTTCTCGTACAGACCATAAGAAGATTTATTTACCGCGACATAGATGGAAGTTGTAAGCATGAAATTCAACATTGGGTAGTCAGAAATCAGAGACAACAGCAGCTTAGGCTGACCATCCGGCACTCCTGATCTGCACACCCACATAGTATTTCCATCATAAATTGTAAGATTTGGGTTGATGCAAAATCAATGGATGCTCGACATCATATGATTGAATAATGGTTGTATTGTGCTTATCATGGTTGAATCTCGACATTCTAACATGCCAAACAATATTGTTAAAATGGAATTCAACACGGGCCAGATTGGGTCCTAGATGTGGCCCAACTGTATAATCAACCATTTTACAGCATCCAAAAGGATCAAGGGGAGACCCGGTCCTGCCGTGGGGTAGGTGTTCCACCACTTGGACAACATAATCGTGTAAATGTGAAGTAACCCGACATATATGGAGGAATTTGTTTTCAAATAAGTTTACAACCCAATATTATAGGAAAACACTAATATTAAGCATCAGTAAGGTCCCAGTTTACATACCTTAGCCATATGTGAATCTGAGAGATGTAGGTTTCCAAAGTGATTTTTCCCAGCCATCTAATAAATAAAAGGAAGTAGCATTAAAGCCAAAGTAATAAATTGAAAATCCTTGATAAGGACAAAGAATTATGGGATTGGAAGAATCGGTACTTACGCAAAAAGGGTCAAGGTGTAACTACGGAAATGTTGGGTGACGTTCCGCAGGCTTATATACACACTACCAGCAAATGAATGAAATTATATAAAAGAACACTAATGGAAGAAATTTATATACAAGATAATGGAGCATTTGAAAAAAGTACGTACGTAATGGGGATCCACGAGGTGTAAGGATGGTACTTATTGTATGTAACTTTGGGAAGTTTGTATATATACTCGAGCCACAGATACCCAACCTAAGACATGAAATTTCAGAATCTTAGATAAAGAAACAAAGGGGAAAATAGATGTGGACATGGAAAAAGAAACTACCGTCAAGGATATTAACACAACAAGCGTCTTGATAGATATTCTTCGTTTAACTTCTGCTTCCTCCAGCTTTTCCATCCACCTCTCAACCTAGGGTAGAAGGGTAGCAGTTTAGCAGCGTAATACAATATGTATATATATATATATGGGCAAACATCTAGCGTCAAATTCCAATGAAAAGACACTGCATGCAGGTACGAGAAGAGAATGCCATTCTTGCCAGTGGCAAATATTTTTAGCACAGGAGGACATTGACACTTACTGTTGGGTGATAGTAAGCATACAGCATTCCTATAATCCATATGTACCGGTCAAGGCCAGACCGGAAATGCCATTCGTGCATAACAGGGATGTTGGGCTTTGCTGGATCGGTGTATCCTGAGATAAATTTACGTTTATCACTTCACACATCAATACATAAGTGATGAAAACAGCGAGTACTAGCACCTGAAGCTACATACCAACAAGAAAAGTGAATGGAGCCCATAAAAACTCAAACACTCCCGGTACTTCCCATATCAGAATAACTGCCAAAAAGCAAGCTAGAAATTTTGCAGCAATGACCGTTCCATTGTCGTTGTATTTGTTGAAAAGACCAAGTGCCCCATAAACCATGAGGGTGAAAAGGGTATGCATGGGGCATATGTAGTATAGCATATAGCTGTTGTTAAGAACAACACAACAAAATAACACTAAAAAGTTGAGCCGCCACATCATCTGTCCAACAATATTGCACACACTTAGAGTCTTAAAATTACACAAAAATTTAGGCAAGTGGAAGAATAAATACGTACCTGAGCAAACCTTGCAAGGCTGAAATCTTTGCGGATGTAATAATAAGAGAAGTTGCCAAACCCAGTCATCCAGACATATGCAGCAATAAAAATACGTATGGCATTGTAGATTTCTGTTGCAGCGAAGTAATGGTACATTAGAAACAATACCTGTGGATAAATGACCAAGAGTCAGATAAACAGTGTAATCTATGCAAACGAACGCAACTGAAGCAATATAGCTCATATACTTCTATAGGTTATGAATTCATGTTGAATGTAATCATCCGTATATCATATGCAACACCTTCACTAAGAACTATGCATACATTTTATATATTGTAGGACCTAACTTTGAAATTACTCATGACACAGCAAGACAAAGAAGTTTTAGCATATTAGAAATCATGGCTGACAAATACACAAGCTCATTCATACACAAAAATGGCAGTTATATCACTATTTTACTGCTCAGTGACATACATGAAATGTCTAAAACTTCTTCAAGAGCATATAAATACATAGTTACGGCCTGAATAAGAATCTCAGAAAGGTGACAAACCTGCATCCAGCCTTTCCACTCCTCGGTTTGATGTCTGTTAAGATAAAGTATGGCTTTCCCAGAGAATGGCGACTTATCATGATGTATCTTGAAAGAGGTAATTGCTGACACTATGATGAGAAGAAAGTAGAGGAACAGAAAAAGATCCCGATTGTAACTCTGTAAACATAAATAATGGAGAGCAATATGAGGAAAACTAGAAGTCAATGATGAGACTTGAGAGACTAAAACATAAGAAACATTTTTCCCTGCCCATAATTAAACAGTTAAGTTTTGAATATGAATGATCGCTTAGCATAAGAGCTAACTATCCCTAAATGCACTTTCAGTTCTTTGTTTCATCATGTATATAGCTCTTTCCTAATATATTCAATTAAGACCACTTTTTACCATTCACAATCATATGAAAGCAGACAACTGTGGGAACAGATAAAAGTAGGGAAAAGTAAAAAACATGACCCAGCAGATATTAAGAATTTCTTGCACGATCTTCAGGTCCAGCTCTTCGCGGCTGTTAAATGTCAAAGTAAACAACGCCCTATTTACTGCTACAATTACAAAGATGCATCTCAGTGGTCACCCCATGAGACATTTTCATTCACAGTAGAAGGAGGCAACGACTACATCTGTGGTCTTCTGTCTGGCCAGCTTACAGATTTTGATGTCTGCTACTTGACATCTTGTTATATCAAATAGACAACATACAGTCCTTTTATATTTATTTGACTTCAATATCAAATATATGTTCATATGTGAATCCTAGCTTACTCAAGTTCAAGGAGGACAAGTGAATAGAACTTTAGAAAATTAATGAAATCAACTATTCTCTTTGTGCCCAAAAAATGCAACTCCCCTTGTTTGGGGTGTACCCAAGAAAAGCAATTTCCACTCATACTCCCAGATTGGAGGAGCTACATTTTAGAAATGACCAAATCTAATGACAAAGGTGTGTTCCAAGTAGCACATCATCAAGTCATGAATAAGAAGCTATACATCTAGTGACAACTAATACTTGATTCCAGTTTGCTCCTCAAGTGTGCACACAATCACACGAGAAAAGTAGATTAAGAGATGAATAATTACACACAATAAAGGGGAGAAAAGGGAAGGACCAAACCTAACCTAACGTACGTAAGCTCATTACAAGGTAGAACGGACTGGCCTCATCCAGTTCCTCCCTTGATTCTATCAAGGTCATGTTCTACTATTAATCCCCCCCCCCCCCCCCCCCCCCC